TATTAACGTATCTTATTGTTAGTGTCCTTGGTGAAATTAGACGCCATTAATTTTTAAAACGAAATTTGAGTTTGATTTGGCATTATTAATTCTATAACAAGATTTTATTGCCTTGTTTCAATATCGATTCGTTTTAATTTTATATATTTTCTAAAAAATTTAATTATTTTTTGTGCAGATTCGTGATTGACTACTTGGATTGTCTACAAAGAGAACAAACGAAATTTCAATATGGACGCTATTAACGACCGTTTGATGTCAACCAATCAGAGAAACGGTAACATTTGATTTTTCGTATCAATAGTAGATACATTTTTATTTTCTTTTTATTGAATTTTGATATCTATTTATCAAGTGACTCAGCATCGATATATAAATTATTAAAAATATGACGAAAATAGAAAAGATCGAATAAATTACGTTTTTATTTCGGATTAAATTTTTTCTTATAAATAAATTAAATTTATTCTTTCATTATCTCTTAATTAATAATTTTCAAAAATACAAGTATATTTATAACAAATGCTCGATAGAAAAAAGAAATAAAATATCGAAAAAATATTTTGTTTCTTTACTCTATGCCCCTTCTAATATAATTTTTCTTTCAGAAAATTGTGACTGCGTGCAATGCAGTCAATAGAGTCAGTGTTCGTTTCGTAATAGTATTTTAAATATTTTTTTAGAACACAGCTGTTCTAATTCAATTTAATTATAATAATCAGTCGCGAAATTAGAGTCAGTGTTTGTTCGTCGAATATAAACATTCTTAATAGTCTTTTATTTTTATTTATTTTTTTTTTTTAATTCGTCTTCGAGATAGAGTCAGTGTTTCTCAAGAGAATAAGGCGATCATCCATCACGCGAAGAGGTAATTATTTTATATATTTTCTACTTATTTCAATTTTTTCATATAGAATTGTATTTTAATTATAATGTTCTATGTGTTACAGTTTCCATTTCCTGATTATTTGGCAATGACATCCTATGAGTGCAGATTCTTCGCATCATTGGTGAGTCGCATGCATTTATGTTCCTCTGATTACTCAATCATGTCGTAGGATGAAAGGTCCGAATCGACACGAGTAATTGGTTGTATACGTAGATTTTTGCACGAGCACAGTGACCACGGATGTTATACCCGTGAATAGTAACATTTATTTTTCTTGTATTTTATTTATTAGATCAGGATAGGTCTTCTTGTATATTTGCTTTTAAATATTAATATTTTTTAGTAATATTAGTTTATTATTTAAAATTAAGTTATTATAATCTATTAAAGTATATTTACAAATGTTAAATATTTAAAAAAATATATATATACTTAAATTAAATAAATAGTAAAGATTAGTTTTATTTTTCTTGTTTGAAATACATGAAATATTATATGCAAGAAGACACTTCGCGACAGGCAGATTTTGAAATCAAAGCTACAAGTTTTGAATATTTCTTTTATATATTTTTGAAANATTAATCGTCTCTGGCTTTTCTTGTCGATTTTTCGAGTTTCGTGATCGCGGTCGCGTTTTGCTTTCGAAACGAATGTTGCGCTCGAGATTCTGCACATGTATGAACAATGATCATTAGTCGTCCATGTGCTAGTTTCCGCGATTTAGTCTTTTTTTTTTATTTCTTTTTTTG